AAATCCATGGAAGATCTCCACCCTAAATTTCCATGGCCACAGGATGACAAATACAAATGAAATGCATAAACTTCAGACCAGCTTTTAARTAAGAGATTTGTGGATGTGAGGCCCCATGGAACTGACTGTCCTGCAACTGATCTGTTCCTGACTTTGGAACAGATCTCTCTTGGAGGGAGTTGGAGCTGTCCAAAACAGTCATGAAATAAGAATGATGAGTACCTGACCTGAGAACACACTCACTTTGTGCTACACACATCTGGAACAGCATTTAGTCAGGAAGAGGGAATTAAATGAACCTGACATAAATAATAGGACCATTTGATTATTACTGTCACCTATAATGGATCTCACCAGCTACAGAACAGCTGGCAAGACATATCATGCCCTTGTTCATGTACTAATAAGCTCTGCAYGGGTGGTGCTTCACTGACATTGAGTGCTTGTACAAACCTTCACCATTTGTGCTGCTGGTAAGGATCCCTGGCTGCTCTCATTCTTAGCCAGTATTATTTGTGTACTATTCAATAGCAATAGAACAGAACCCTGTCACAAATTAATGGGTCTGTACTACCTGGAAATGTCAAYGCAAAAATGAATTTAAAGATGTTAATTTTTCAAGCAACGTGAATTGCCTGACAGCATTTTATTACAGCGTTGTTTATTTCTTCTCCCGCCCACGGTTTAAAAAGCTACTGCCATAAACATCATCTATTACCTACATCCAGCATTGCCTTTTTGTTTGCAATTTTAACATAAAAAATTTAATTTAAAAAATGGCTGAGAGCAGTTTGGCCTTGAGGAAAGTATCTCTGCCCATGGCAGGGGGGTTGAAACCAGATGSTCTTTAAAATCCCTTCCTCAAGGGAGGAGTTATGAGCACTGCATGGGTCAGTCACATACACATGGATATTTATTTAAGAACTGCACAAGCCCAGCTTGGGGCAGAAGCAGCATTTCTATTTCTAAACTCTAGAAAAATCATAGCACTAAGTTTGGTCCATAATAAAAATTAACAGCACTTTGGCAAAGCCAGCATGCAATCAAAAGTATTACAAACTACTATGCAAAATGCAGATGTGAAAAGCAGTTCAAAGTCATGCCTGATGCTTTTAAAGCATAAGAAGCATGCATCAATATTAACACCAAGCTATTTATGATCATCCCTAGCAAGTTTTCCCTAGATGTAGATATGCTTCATCTATTTTCACATTTACTGTCTTACAAATAGCCCAGAGCCCTTTAGATGAATTTTTAAGTTGTTTGATAGCAGACATTTACTTAAATCTTGTGGCTTTTCCTATGAGCCTGGAATTGCAAAATGACCTTATGACTCAATAGATAAGACAAAGAATATTCCCCACTCCCTTTCCAACTTTYTAATCAGAGAGCAATGGATTTTTATCACGGCCAAGTCTGAAGATAACCATCCTGCACTTCTCAGTTCACACTTTACCTTTGAGACAGAATTCCACAGGGACAAGTCCAGTCATTTAATGGCCAGACRATTCCAGATTTCTTGCCAAATATTATGAGCAGTCAAAAGACTGTGGACAGTGATCTCACTCTCACCAGATGAAGAGTGAGACCTACTTTCAAGGTCTGTAAACAAATTTATCTATTGTTCAAAATCAAAGAGCAATTCTCTCCATTAAAATGATTAAAAGCCTCCAAGGTTGGTAGAGTTCTTACACACCACATCTGTGTATTTCTCAGCAGTGAGGGATAGACAGTTCCCACTCATTACCTCAGGATTTTCTTCGTAGTAGCAAACAGAAGCACCTGCACCTGGCCCTTTTATTAGTGYCTATTTGTATGCATTCCAAACACTTCAAAATCTTCTTGCCACAAACATTTCAAGAGATAAAGGAAACCAAATTCATATTCTGAAAAGATGCAGTAGTAGAATCTTATTTTTTCTTCTTCGGTACATACCCTTTTTAAAAAATTTGTAAACAGAACTAATTATAACCTGGCAATACATTTTGTAATAAACTACAAGCCTTCCTCACACTACCACCAAGGGTCCTGAACCTGCTGCAAAAGGAAAAAAGATTCAACTAATTATATTACATAAAAAAGCAGTTTTTATTTCATTCAAAAAGGTTCTTATAATTTTGAACAAGTCCCTGGGAACTCTATCATGTGTAAATCAAGATCAAACAAGACTTGAGTGGACAGGAATATAACATACAATATTGAAGGGATGGGGAAGTTGGGCAAGGCATTCACAAGGGTTAACATCATCCCCTGTAGGTTAATGCCTCAATTGCTTTCTCTAGGTAAAGAGATAAAGGCTTCTCAGAGAGCCATTCAGAACTGAAGATCCACTTAGCTACTCTGAATCTCTTCGGAGGACTTTAACTTCAGAAGCAGCCTGCAGAGGTTAGCCTTAAAAAGATCACACTTGCTTTTGTGAACACTCCCCAGTATTTACCTTCCATCAGTGGCTGAAATTCACTTCTGAGACTTACTGTTGGTTATACTGTATTCAACCCTGAACGCTGTGCATTGCCCACGGACTGAATGTCACCCAGCTGGAGCTTAGCACTCCTGCTAGAATCACTGAAGAGTATCCACAGCACTGCTAGGATGACTGCAGGATTGAGCTTTTCCCAGTGCCCCATTAAAGTGCTCTGTTTGAAGGCCACCTGCACGCTGCCATAGAAAAGACTGCTGTGCCCCAGAACCTTCAGAATCGATTCATTGTGCAGCCATTCTGGCACAGCTCCTCCTCTCACTCCGACTGCTCCCTGTATCACTGCAGCAGCAGTGGGAGCTGGGCTTTTACCATCAAGCYAAACACAAAGAATAAAAATTCTCAGCTTTTGAGACCTGCTGACAATGATTTTTATGATTATTACTTAGTAAGAACAAGAAAGTAAAAGSGCCTTTTCATCTCACAGAATAAAGTTGGATTTTTGTGACAAGAATACAGGACGAAAACCATACTGCTGACAGAATTTATTAWCAGGGCCATTTTCTAACTTCTCCCCTTCCACTATACTTCATCAGATCATTGTGCTTTCCTTCCTGGAAAATGTCCATAATATCTTCAAATTTTATCAAAACAAAACATCTATGATCTTGTATAAACCAAAAGAACAAATGCACATATTTGAAAGTTTCATTGGGACTTTTCCCATTTATGCTTCTGCTAGTTTGTTGTTGTTTTTTTTTCACAGAACATCTTTGTAACATAGATCAGCCATCCTTTTACATAGGTAGAATACAGAAAAAAGACCCTTCAAATTGACTTCAGCAAACACRTAACAAAGTGAATCACAAACAAATCTCTTGTTTAACACCAGTCAGGTTATAACAAGAGCAGRAGAGAACACAACTGCCAGATAGAGTTGATTTACAAAATATGCCATAAAGTATGGATAGACGATCTGCACTAATCTGGGAGCACAGCCCTTCCACAATGTTCTAACTCCCAAGCCCTGGAAACATAGTTTCCTATACGACCATATCAAACGTAACTTCAAAGAAAAAACTTACAACTTGCAAACATTGCTAAATGTTTTAGTACTGAAATCAAATCTCCTTACCAAATAGAACAGCCATGTTCAGATTTAAGAGACCATATTGAGACAAAGGTGTAATGAACAGACTATTAAAAATACCAGTTATTTTCCCAAATGAACAAATTCTTAGCATGTTACATAAACTACCTGCAATGCAGTATGTCAAACCAATACTTTATGCTGTGTATAACCTAAGTAACACTGTGAGAAATGTTAGCCACCACATGGAATMATTTTTACATAACCCTCAATTATTTAAACATCACAGCATCCTAGTTTCAAAATGCATTTAACCAGGATGGCCTTTCAAAAACACTGCACCTTCAGACAGGAAAAAAACCAAACCTTTTTTATATTCCAGTTTCAGGTGCTTTTTCAAGCATTCAGCAAAGAGATTTGCAGCTAAAAATTACAAGCAATTATTTTTGCGCATCCTAATTATATTGTGGCATTACATTAACAAAAACTATGCACTTTGCCAGTCAGGGCSAGTGTTCTGTAGAATTCTACATAATAACAATCTTTTGGYTTAAAATKAATCCCAAAGCRTGTYGAATAGAAGGTTAAYGGMAGGAGATTTTAATTATTGTCAAACYCTAAGAAATATGAGAGGAACAATGTTTGCACTTTTTTCATATAATTGTTTATTACTGAAATATACATAATTTTACAATTTATCCTTTATTTGGAAGATGGTTCTAGGAAAATATTGATTTCTGAAGAGTTTTTCTCTATTTCCTCAGCTTACACCCACTCAGAAGGGCATTTTGTACTTCTGYGTTATCTGACACATTATCTGAATATCTTTCTACAGCATGATGATTGCACAGGACAGTTGCAATTTGTGACAATACTCATTTAACTAAGCACTGCAATCTTACTTCTGTTCAACTCAGTACAACAGAAAAAAGTGCAGTATGGTAAGATTTTGCCAAATACATTAAATCACAGCGCAGTTAAGCAGTTCAAGAAAAGAAGCAATTTCTCTACTTAAAACACACAACTGACAGTGTGTACCTGGCAATTTATCATCTGAACACAAGTATTTCAGTGAATTCTATGCAGTAAAAAACAAAGACTTGTGGAAAGAACCAGTATTAGTTTACTGGAAAAGGAATGACATATTTGACCAGTACCCACACATTCCCAAATTAGACTGCAATCCTTCTCAGATGATGGCACTTCACGTGAGACACTAAATCTCAYAAAWTCTCTGAAAGTGAGTTTAACTTAAYTTCACAGTATGTCAAAATGAAGTTTTAAAACACAGAAACCTCTGTTTTCTCCTTTATTTCAAATACTTGCAGCAATTAAATCTTAGAATTRCTTTGGAACATTTGGCAGCTATTTATCTATTTGAGTAATAAGCTCCTGAAACTTCCCTTCTACTTGTGCTTAATACTTGAGCYAGGTGAAAGGTGTTCCCCTAAACATGGAAATAACTTTAGAAAAAAAAWWAARRAAAAAARMAACTTTTAGCACACAGTAGAGATAATTTCTTTGTAACAAAATCATAACACAATTCTCCCTTTCACAAAGTAGTATATCCAGTAATTTAAATATCAATTGATGGTGGCTGTGATACCCTTGCGGTTCAGTATCACTTGTAGAGAAGTCTGTCTTTCTTACAGAAATACAACATGCAAATAGTCCATTCTTCTACWGGTCAGGGAAGAATCAGTGCAAGAGTTAATGTATTTTAACAGAAAAATTAAACTTTATCTGTTTAAAAAAAAAAAAATCAAATCCTGGCAAGTCACTTTTGTAAAAAAGTCCAATTCCTTAGTTGCATTYTGGAGTTCCAAAATAAATAGGCCTCTGCTGCACAGCAATGTCMCTTATTCCTCAGCTTGCAGGAGATTTTATGAGGTCCCAACTCGATCTCTGGGAATGAGCCGTAGATCTGAACCATGCTTTAGAAATACATTTCCTAAACAAAGCAAGAAAACAGGCTGCGTTACTAACCAAAAAAATACAATGTTACCTCAATAGACACACACATTCAACGTTAGGTCAGTGTTTTACATCTTCATAGTAATTCCTCTAACATACCAAAGCCAAATTTTTCATGTTTCCATATAATTTTATCTTGTCCCTCTTTCTCAAGAACTCTTTCCTTTAAACAAGAACGCTAGGCCTTGCAAAGTGTAGCCTTTCAAACTTTGCAGTTCCACACCTGAATGTCTGATTTCACTTATAAGCCATATTAATTTCAAGAATAGAAAATRAAGTTTTACTTTTCCATAAATATTTTTTTATCTTGAGGTCATTCATGCATTCATTCATTTTTAGTTCTCTCCTTGATTCTTATTGACTTATCGACTCTTTTAGGAAGGTTCTCCAAATATCCAAGCATAAGTTAGTCCCAYTTTAGCATAAAAATACCCTTCAACTTCTTATTTATTACTGTATTGTCATAATCATCATAGTCTGTTCAAGAAGACAATAAAAAATTAGAGGTTTGTAATACTTAGATGCCTCAAATTTTTTTCATGTATTTCAGGACTGTCATTCAGGTTGCTATTTTCTTCTATTAAATGTAACATTTGAAAGTGAAACCACATCACTAAGYGATATGTTGTTTAATCAGTATAAGGAGTATTTACTTTTTTACTCCATACTGCTATTGCACAAAATAAACTATATGCTACTCCTTATTCAACCTTGCATTAACTTCTAAAACAGAGTAGTTGTATTTCTCCCCCAAGCACCCCATTCCAGGAATGTAGAGTGCACTCASAAATAAGATTAAGATACCTGACACYTGTATAAGCTGTTGGTATATTAGAAAAAAGCTACCTTTTTTTGAACTCCACTTCTCCAGCATGTGGATCAGGATCAAAACCACYGTACACCATCAACTTAATGATCATTACAAAATCAATGCAAAATAATGTGATTTTAGAGATCTGCCAAGACCACTTACTGAAGAGATCTGTAAAACCCACTGAACGCAAGCCTGTTTCACCAGCAAACCAGAGAACTGCTTACTAACCTTACTATCCTAGATGGAAATATCCTATTGCAACGGCCATCATAAAATTCTGAAYGTTTTAAACCAGGCCACAGCTACATCTCATGGAGACAACAGTTCACMTCACTTCACTCTGTTTCCATCATTAACATCACACTGGTTTTATTAAAAGTCATGGCATATCATTCCCTGAACTATCAAGGATTTAAAATTTAAATCAATACAGGGATTAAGTGCAAAGACTAGCTCTTCCAGCTTTCATTTCCCCTTCTCCGTGAAATCATGCAAGAAAAATGAAAGTCATACTTGAGCACTTTTATTCAGAAAAGGAGGGAAAACGTGGAACAGTACAAAACCTCTGAAATCCCCAAGGATTACCAAGATTTTATTCCCACATATCTTATTYTGGAAGTCTTTGAAGACTAAAGTAACTGTTCAATCTCTAGGAACTCTGATATAGGGGRAAAAAAAAGGGGAAAAAGTACATTTTATTTTGCGATACTAATTAATGAGTCAGAAGGTAAGATTATACCTAAATTATATATATTTACTCGTAAACTGAGGAAGAATTTTGGTGTGAGCCCTAGGTTTGACATAGATTTTATTTTGATTTTTTTGTCTGGGTTCGTTTTGGAAGTTTTTTTTGCTGTGGACTGGTTTGGTTTGTTTTGTTTTTCCCAGTTAAGGGCAACATCACACAGCATTGTCAGAACATCTAAGTTAAAAAAACATAATCCATGTGCCAAATTTTACATCTGCATGTTAAGACAACGATGACAACATTTTGCATCTAGATGCTGTTYTTCCTCAATTATGAGATGCTAACACTACAGAATAATTCCTCAATATTTGTATGAGCTTAGGAGAAGTAAAGCGAAWCAACTAGAAATGTGAATTCAATATGCACAGCTGCAAGTATAATGAACTACTGCATGGAGGCTTTTATTTAGCAGTCATGTAGTTCTAAATACATTCACATTGCAGGATTGTCACTAATTTGACATAATACAAAACAATACCATACTTATGAGGAATGGAAGCCTTAGTATACCTTAAGCAACTTCACTCATTTTGCCGAAGTATTCTGCAGTGGTCATGTGAAAATGTGGCTTTTTGTGTGGGTGATGATCTAGTAATTAAACTATTATATTGTTTTTAATACACTTGGTCATGGCATCATGATGAAGACAGCATCAGCTGAGGAGACTGCCTGAAGCAGTACACTTGTGAAATCCTGTCCTAAAGCAGGACAAAAGTCTCCAGTGGAGCAGAAAGCCAAAYGCTTATTTGATCTTCATTTTCAAAGGTTGTTAATGCTATCACAGACCTCTACAGAGGTTTCTGCACTTAAAATAGGTCTCTGTACTTAACTGCTTTCTTTTACAACTTCAAGAAATTCCTAAATTAATGTCAAGCAAYTGCACTTCTAACCATCAGATACTGTTCTGTGCTCTGCAAGGATTTATACTTCTTATACTATTTAGTTTACACAATTAAGTCAGCTGACTTCTGAYCTTCAGAGCTTTGCTCTTTAATATGCAGTTTAAAAGCAATACTGTATAACTATATATATTATATATATATAATCTTTATATATAATATATATATTATATTTATTCATATTTATATTTATGTATATTTTATGTATATTATATTATATATATTTTTTATACTATATATATTTTCCCTGTGGTACCTTCAATGCTGACTGGCAGTCAGTCAGAAGACATAATTGAGACAGAATGGATGGATGCACAGATTTCATGCAAAAACCAGCACAGCAGCAGTTCTCCATCAACCGTTCATCATGATTTGCATGATGAAAACTATTCAGTTTTCAGTGGATGACTGGATTCCATAAGCACTAGAGCCATTTTCACTAATAYCTAGTAGGTAAGAAATATTTGTAACTTTCTATCAAGATAAACTTCTCAAATGGTTTAAGATTAGACTACTGTAATTATTTCCCAAWTAGTTTAAAAATATAGCTTTTCAARTCCACAGAATCTGCTTCCAGACAGCAGACCATGACTGGTACAATTCAACCTCTGTACTATGTTTCCGTGTATTTCAGGAGGTTAAGACAAGATGGGGAAGAGCTTTACACTTTTCTGTGATAGAGATAAACTCTTCTCTCATGGCCGGCCTACACATTTGAAATCAGGGATTTCTAATATGTAATCCCTTGGTGAGAGSAAGAGAGCTATCACAAAGAATCAAAGAATGGATTGATTTGGAAAAGACCATTATGATCACCTAGTTCAAACCCAACTCTTCTAAAAACATGCTTTCCAAAGTACCTGGAGTTCCTGCCCTATAACTGAGTATTTTTCTTAACATATTTCATGAGAAGTGCTGCTAAAACAGGGAAAATACAGATGTAACAAATACAAATGTTATTTGTTACTGCAGTAGCATGTTATACAGTATTGCTTTTAAACTGCATATTAAAGAGCAAAGCTCTGAAGATCAGAAGCGCCTCACTTTTTCACAGAACTAAACAAACACTGAACAAAAAACTCAAACACTGTTCTTTGGATTTAACCTCTTACACACACAATGACTGTGGTTTTCAACTAGTGGTTAATTCTCCTCCTGTTTAATAAGTCAAAACTTAAAATGTAATACAACCTCAAATGCTATACACTATCTTGAAAGAAAAATAACAGGTTTTAAATACTGGGATTCATATACAGTAACTTACCTGCTGTCTGTGCAGGGTTTATTCCTATACCATCTAGGAAGTAGAAAAAAAAAAGATGAAACAAACATATTATTATTTACTACATTAAACTTGCAGCTCAAAAAATATACCAAGAAGATACAATCATTACATCAAGTTATTATGCAGCTACTTCCTATAGAAAAAAACAGTCTTAGCATGGGAACCGACAAGAAACCTTCAGCACAGAAAAGTCCAAGGTACAAATTTGGATAGATTAGTGGCTTAATACCTTCAACCCATGCAGAAGAAATTTAAAGAATGCTGCAATATTATTAAATTAAATTTACAGTATGTAGAGGCTAWATTCTTACCATTTGTTATAATAGCACTTGTCGCTGCAGGAACTTTGAACTAAAGGAAAGAAGAGTAGGACAAAAAAGCATAAGTGACATAGTTAAAGCAGAAAATACATAGGCAACATTAAAGCATAATTTTAGTTTGTTCAGGTACAAAAAAAAAAGTGAAAGAGTTCTTTCATATTTATAGATATAGCTAATATTATTTAATGGMAATGGACGGCTATTTTAGTAGTAATTCCACAAATGTAATGGAGGTTTCTTCCTAATTACTGTGCAAATGTACACCTGAGACATGTACCAGGTAGCTCTAAAAGATGAGCAAAAAAACCCGGTAGATACCACACTCTGTAAATGAGGTCTTTTCTRACCAGGGCAAGTCTGATTATGTTGTAGCAAATGTTAGGTCTCTAAGAAATGTCTCAGTAGAAACTTGCTAAGGCTAAATAGCCAGAAGTTAAATCCTTCTCTGCCCTTAATCACTGAGAGGATGAAGCATTTCCCCTGGAGAACAATTAACAGCCTTGACCAAATGTTGATCTTTTCCATATATATTTCAYTAAAGGTACTGTGAAATTTGTTCTTGAATCACAACGCACTGTGTGAGTTAATGCTMAGCCATGCAGTCCAAGGAACAAAAAAAATGTAACACAAAAATTATTTTTCTTTTTGATGCCAGCTCACATAGGAGCTTTATTCCTGGGGAAGAGTTTAACAGTCTTTTTTTGCATTTTATTTACAAAACACTTCATTCTGCCTTGACTCACAGAGATGCAAAAARCTTCAGTGCTGATCCAGTGYAGTTGAGGTCAMACAGCARAACTCCCATGGATACTCAAAATACCCACATCAATTRAAATTATGGTTTGCTAAATGTGAATATTTAAGTCAGTAATGACYCTCTAAATCCATTTCTCAGATGAYCCTATCACTAACACTTTGGTTCCACAAGTAGGCAAAGCTAACAGGTTCAATGGCAAACCTCTCAYCAGAAGTGGCCCCTCCCTCTCAGTATCTCCAGCTACTCAGTGTCAGTTCAGATGTTTCTAGTACCTCATACTCGATTATTAGACTTTTCAGTCTAGGTCTCTATGTATAGGTTTTGTGGGCATCAGTTCAGAATAAAATAACTGGGGAAAATAAAACAGTAAAAAAACCCCAATTAAATAATCAAATAACTTTAATAGCATGTAATATTGTGTATAATATTCTCTTCAAGTAAATTTACAACAAAAACAGTCCACAACCTCCTACCACAAGCTGCTTCATCCAAGAACTTCTGTCACATCGTGGCATAACAGTAATAACATAAGGAAACTCAAGACACTGAGTCCATTATCCTTCCTAACTATTTTATTACAACTGCAATGCTCAAACAAAAGACATTTTCAACACCCACAAATTTCCCAGGTTTTTCTACATAGATAGAGGGAGAATTGCAAAAGTCTCATCTGAATTTTTTGCCAATTAGAAGAAAAGAGCCATCATGCTTCTGAGCACTTGATTTTACTATTTACATCCAACCTCCTAATTTGTGTGCTTAATCTGAAACAACACCATACACCTCCTCAAATACATTGAGGGCAATTTAGACACCTAATGGTATGGGAGTTTATGTGAAAGATTGACACCCAGACGCCAAAGAATACACTATCCACATCTTCCTCAAGTCAGTTTTTTGAATCCAGCCCATATGGCTGATCTCAATACCTTCCACAATCAAAAACCATGCATCTTGCAAAGTCAGAGATTACTGGAATTGAATGTGAAAAGAGTTTAAAAGGTCCCTGAACAATTCTGAAGAACTTTCTTGATATTCAATGTAAGCAATTTTAATATTAAGTGCCCAACAGCAGAATCTTTTAATTGTCTTCATTGTCACAAATTTTTATACCACTGATATAAAACAGTTTAATTACAAAAAAGGACAGAAAGCACCTMAGTGATAGCTGCTGATGCATTAATTGTGCAAGGATTGCTAAGTTTAGGATTCTGAAAGTTCTGGCAGGTCCCCAGAGGCCAGTAAAGCTTGTGTCCATTTGTGACAAACAGCAGTTCCTTGTGCTGAATTAACCACTGSATTTTTACCATGAAAAAGATTTTTRAGAACATCTAAAATGTTAAAAAYCAGCATTATCACTCTCTACTTACTTCTTCTGCAGCAAACTTGAGGACAGCTGTGAAAGGTGTGCTCTCAGGCACACTTAACCTGAAATCACAACACAAGTAAATACGTGGCTGCCAACACAAACCAAAAAGCAACTTTATCTCCTGTTAAACTACTAATTGAAACTTTACTTTTACCAATGGCAGTACTTTTGCCTGTTCTCCCCTTGAATGGTGCAAGCACCATTCAAGGGGAGAACAGGTTCTTGGTGGGCATGAGATGCTTCAAGAGAAGCATTTTTAGCAGAAAATGGCAACACCTCTACATTTCAGATGTAGCAAATCTCAGGAGGTGTGGGATTAAGCTCTGTAGCAAYGTCCTCTCCAGGAGGAGAGGACCTGGTCTCAAGCTGTGGCAGGGATGGTTCAGGCTGAACATCAGKAGAAATTTTTCACTGRAAGGGCTGTCAAATATTGGAACGGGCTGCCCAGGAAAATGATGGAGTCACCGCTCATGGAGGTGCTCAAGAAAGGCCTGGACGTGGCACTCAGTGGCGTGGCCTGGTTGACAAGCTGGTGATCGGTCAMAGATTGGACTCAATGATCTSACAGATCTTTTCCAACCTGAATGATTCTGTGACACGGTGGAAGACGCGCACAGCAGTGGAGGCAAAGAGGGAAGGCCCCGACAGCAGGGTTAACTACGGACATCGCGTGTCATTCCACACGAAAGGAGACAAACGCTTTTCCCGCTGGCGAAATGCCCCGCCGGGATGGCCACTAGAAGCCATTCGCCCCGTTTTCATTTCCCCGCCGCCCCACGCAGCGCCGGCCCGGCACTCACACTTTGTAAGGCAATCGGGGGTCCGAGGTGAGCGTCACTTTAAAGGTGACTTTCGACCTGTGGAGAAAGCAGGGGGTTAGGGCTGGGTGAGGGGGCGAGGGGGGCTGCGGGACCCCCGCTCKGTCCCTCTGTCCCTCCCTCCCTCACTCACATGGTGCTGCCGGGGCCGCCGCCGCTCCCTCCGACACGTCAGCGGCGCCCGCCGCACGGGGGCCTTCGCCRGCCCTGAGTTGCCCGAGGCGCGCCTGACCWCAAAGGGAAGATAACATGCCCTGTSGASCTGCTATGAGGCAGGGAGCGGCCGTGCTCTTCTTCTGCGCCTCACTGCAACAGGGACAGGGAGAGCCTGAGGGGTGGGCGAGGCGCAGCGGGGAACGGCGGGGAGGATTTCTAATGAGGCAGTGGATCGGGCTGTTCAGCGGCTGAGGTAGGACCCCGACACCGGGAACCGCCGCTTCCG